GTGAGGGACTCTGTCCTACGCTAGGTGACTAACATCCCCGACTGAGAGGGTTCCAGGATGCGGACGCCCCACCTTCAATCCGGGACAGGAGTTGGTAAAGGCAGGCGAGCATGGCAACCCTTTAGGGCCTGTGGAACAAAGAAGGAGGTTTAAGAAGCTGATGAGAAAGAGAAGCAAGTGGTTCAGGGCTAGGGCCGGGAAACAGCCCGTGTTCTCCTGCAGGCGGACACTATCACTGCTGTCAGCAGATCTGGGGGCTGCCTGGTACCAGCAGTCAAGGGCTTCCCATTCACGTGGGGTCACGTGGGAAAGAAGTTGCACAATGAGACCTGTTCCTACCCCGTCATTCCCAACATCACTTAGTAGGGCGGGTTGCTTGGGAAGGAAGTGAGGCGCTCATGACTCCCCCACGTGTCTCACTTCTAAGAGTCTGCCTGCCTTTAGGACAGGATGCGTGCCGGGATGTCCTCCTCTGAAGATAATAAATACCCACAGCTTTATGATGCTGTTGTCAGTCTTAATTATGGGATTGCAAATGTGCCCAGAGGCACCTTTTGACAGGCAGATCACACACATCAAAACTGTATCATCTAGAATTCTTTCTGCCTTAGTGGTAGGCTCCACCTCAGATGGATGTCACTGACCCTTCCCAAACTATTTTTCTCTCATCTGCAGGACTTGGGTAGGACCCCAAGTGGAGCTTTTAGGAATACTGAGTCACGCGACCACTTCAGTGTCCATAAATTCACTTCATTGCTTCTACTCACCACCCTTTCCAACTGGCCACCCCCTGACCACAGGCATTCCTTAAGGCATCCCCTAGATTGTTTTTTCCTAATGCAAGGATAGACTTTTTTCAAAATCATCTTGAGGAGCATAGATCAGGCATCGATGTATAATATGTCTGACGTTTTATTCCTTATATTTTTCTTATTTTATAATTTTAAGTCAATGCTCTTCCTTTTGCCTGGGGGTGAAAGGCAGGGGAGAGAAGGGTAAGTCTTTAGGTAAAGGAGAAAGAACGTTCCTAAAATATTCTGCTCCTCTTAGCTCTAGGCAGCGGTTGCCAAACTTAAGCTAGAAAGTTAGGGAAGGGACAAAGTCCTTTTAAAAATTATATTTCTTTAAAGCAGTGTTTTAAAATGTGTCATTAGAATTATTCTTAGAAAATCAATGGGCAATTTTTATAACATTGATTTTTATTTGAAAGAAATGTAAAAAGTGTTTACATTAAAAATGAAAGAAAGAAAAGAAAATCAATTGGCAAGAGTTTTCTAAATGTTCCCAAAGCACAGTAAGGGCCCATGGCTTCCATACAAATGAGACAATCACTTAGATTTATGATGACTATGTGGTTAAGTCAGTGGGAAAACTGGCCAAAAAGACAGCGCTGACCCCCAAAGGGCAAGAAAAGCAAGCGAAGGCTGCTGGTCACACCCCACCAAGAAGCTTCTCCAAATACTGGTTTGCTCACAGTTTCAAAGATTCTTCTGTTCTGACTTGTAAAATGGTTTCGGGATAAATAATTTGTAACAGCTGGTCACCAACTCACACACACTCCCAGAAGGCCCACCTCGCTGAGACCGACGATAAATAATAGATCCTCGGCTCTCGGCTCTCGGCTCTCGGGGGAGCACGCCTGGCATGTGCTGCCCATCACCATGTCTCCCTTCTGCCGCTCAACAGTCACAGGCTGACGCCACCCTGACTGGCAAGTGTTCCAGTCACAGACCTGCCGGGGTGGGTGCCCCGTATTTCTGAGATAGAGTTCGCTGATAGGATTACGGGAGCGTCACCAAATGCAGTCACTGCGCAGGGAGCCCGTGTCACGTTACTTTTGAAAATATGTTAATCTAGAAACACCATCCACTGGACACAAAACCCACCCACACCTGGCCTCCGGGTGTGGCCTCGCGCACACGATCCGGAGACATCTCCTATTTGCTTTCATGGGTAAATAGAAATCTTGAGCTAGGAATAGAGGGGGAGGATTTGAAAATGCAAACAGTCAAACGAAGTGTTTTTGATGCTCTTAAAAGATAAATGACATGCAGATCCCATCAGCAGTCCCCTAAGTATCTCCACAGCCGATTTCTTGCCGTTGAAGGAAGGCAGGAGCAGCAGACGCACCGGACTCTGCAGCTTAGTTTTTGTGCTCTTGCTCCACTGCCGACCACCTCCCGCTACTGAAAAAAAGAAAGATGGTTTTGAGTTGAAGGACTGCTCCTCTGTGTTGCAAGGCCCCGCGACCGGTTCCCTCTGGGCGACCTGAGCCCCTGGGAGGTGAGTTTCTGTCGCTGCTGCCATTGGCCTGCCATCTGTGTTGACTGAGGGGGGTGCTGGATGTCAGGTTGGGAGCAGGTTGCTGTATGCAGGACAAGCGTCCTGGGTCACACACTTAAAGCTCCTGGCTGTCGTCTGTTCACGCCCTTAATGGCCCACGCACACAGGAGGAAGGAGAATTTGGATTGTTGGCGCAGTGCCTCCAGTCAGCTCCAGCTTTCATTGTAGTCAGCGGGCTGGCGTTAGAAGAGGGGGATCAGGACTAAGAGTGTTAGGTGGCTGGTACTTGGATGCGGGGAGGCAGGGAAGGGTGGGAGGGTACAATGCCTACTTTCTCCTTTGGGTCATGGAGAGCCTGTCTGGAGGCTGGCAGCACAGAGCAGAGGGTACTGGGGATGAGAGGAAGAGATTGTCACTGCACATGGCCCCCCGGTTTTCCTTTGAAGATGGAAACAGGGTCCAATATAGAACATCTGTATTGGGCTTAGTGACTAGAACAGACATCACCTCCCAGCCATAGACAATGATTCACTGACCATCTTTGGCCTCTAAGCACTAAGGATTTTTGGGATTTCCATCTATAGACATTCTCAATCGATTCCATCGGATTCCCAGTGATCGCAGCCACGGTTATCTTCTTTTAAACTGGCAGATGAGTCAGCACTTGGGCACCAAATTCAGACTCATAATCAAGTGAACCACGCAGGGTACAGTGGTCAGCGTGGTGAGCACCTGTGTTCATTCCTGGCCAGGCCCAGCTGCAGCATCTCCCAGGGCTGGGCCACTGGGTGAGCCGGCCTGTGTGCTCAGTGGTCATGCTCAGGGGGGTCTGTGAGCTACTGCTGAGCACATAATGGTCAGTCTAGCTGCATAAGCAGTCACGGCCCCAGATGTGTTCACCTGAACTCAGAAAGTAAATTGGGTTCTGTTGGATTCTGACCGGAACCTCTTTGAATGAACATTGGGAGTCCAAGACAGAGCCTGGTAGCTTCGTGGGAAGATGTTCCAGTTCTTTCCAGCTACCTGTAAGGGGCCATTACGGCTAAGAATGTAGACTGTCCTTTACCAGGAAAAAAACTTTTGATATTTTGCATGCAAACAAAAAGAAAATAACAATAATAATAATAACAAGCTGTTTTCCTGTACGCAACGGGAGAGTACCTTTGTGGTCTCTTTTTCTTAAGAATTCTAACGAAAGTTAAATGCTATCAGTTTCAAAGGAATAATATTTTAGGAACTAGGATCTGGTTAGAAGGGCTTGGAGCTCTGCCATTAGCACCTCAAGATGCAAAGACGCATGAGGATGCGCTTGGGGCTGTAGCTTGCCTGTGTCATTAAAAGTCCTGAAAAACTAGAATTCGTCTTTCTCTCTTCTCTGTAGGCATTTAAAATACTCTTTTCCCCCTCAAAACAATTTTTAAAAACTGAAATATATTTGACATATAACATTGTATAATTTTAAAGTTAATACATTCATATATTGCAATATGATTGCCACCCTAGTCATAATTAGCACTTCAAGTTACATAATTATTCTTTTTGGTGAGTGGAATAATTAAGTTCTAGTCTCTTAAAAAGCTTGAATACATAATTGCTGTCGATATTCACTACACTGTGCATTAGATCTCTAGGGCTTATGTCGTTAAACTGGTAACTACTTGTTGTAAGTTTGTGCCCTTAAATCTCATCTACTCTATCCCTCCTTCGCCCCCTGCCCCCAGCCCCTGGTACCCACCATTTTACTCTGTTTTTACGAGTTTGGCTTTTTTAGATTCCACACAAAAGTGACATCAGACAGCCCTTGTCTTTCTCTGACTTATTTCACTTAGCATGATGTGTTCAAGGTCTATCCATGTAGTCGCAAATGCCAGATGTCCTCCTTTCTCATGTCTTAATAATACTTCATTGTAATATGTCACATCTTTTTAATCCATTCATCCATCGATGGGCACATAGGTTATTGTGAATAATGTGAATAAACATGGGGGTGCAGGTATCTCTGTGAGATCCTGATTCCATTTCCTTTGGGTATGGTAGATACATTTTTAATGTTCTGAGGAACCTCCTTACTGTTTTCCATAGGGATACCCAGAAGTGGCATTGCTGGATTACATGGTAGATACATTTCTAATGTTCTGAGGAACCTCCTTACTGTTTTCCATAGGGGCTGAACCAATTTGCATTCCCACCAACAGTGCACAAAGGTCCCTTTTCTCCACATTTGCCAGCGCTTGTTATCTCTTCTCCATGACATCCATCCCACAGGCGTGAGGCCATATCTCAACGTGGTTTTGATTTGCAATTCCCTGGTGATTAGTGATGTTCAGCATCTTTTTATGCACCTGTTGGCCATTTGGATGTCTTAGACAATGAATTCAAATTAGTTAGTGATAGTTTTCACCATCAAACAATATATTCATTTACAAGTTGATTTTAAAAATAGTTCCAAGGCTCTTACCGAGACCATGTCTCTTGCATGCCACTTCTTCCTTTGTCCTTTAACTATTCCCATGGGTGAAGAGTACCTGCCTTCTGCACTGGGCATCCTTTCAAAACCAGGACAGAGAAGGTGGGAGGTCGTATGTTAGCCGAGCAAACAACGTTTAATGTTATACAACTGAGAGGCCCGTCAGTGATGTCTGGACTAAGACAGATTGATAAATATGTGGTCATTAACTAGATTTAATGAATAAAATTTTTACCACTCCCCCTTTTCTCCTGTGTATAGACCATTGATTGTGTTAAGGTAGCATTTAGGATGGCTTAGCGCCTGCTGAGCTTTCTGCCTTCACAATTATCACTGAGTTGTTCTAAGTGAGAAGCATCCACTTTGTTCTGGCTCGGACACTGGGACAGCCCACTTCCACACGTTATTCTAATATATTTAACAACCAGGCTCTTCTCCTTTCGCACAGAACAGGACAGACAATGAAGACAGTCACTGAAAACCAGGAGCTCTGTTGGCGTAACTGAGACCATCAAGGACGGGCACAAGGACAAAGGCCCGGCTGCCCATGGACAAGGCTGGTTTCTCAGAGCGTAAGGCTTCCAAGCAACGGGAGGACTTCCCTGACGATGGGGGTTTCTCCCAAACTAAGCTACACGCTGATCACAATTTTTCCTCGGAAAACAACATCCTGGGTGTCTCAGATCAAGTGATTCCAACAGCAGAGGACCCTCAAGAAAGGGCTGCCCATGAAGGGACGTGCAGAAATGCAGGCGCATTTATGACTCTGGGTAAAATGACTGAACACGCTGCCAAGAAAAAATCTGATGAAGAGCAATGCTGCCTCCCAACTCTTCACATCCCAGCTAAGAAAGGGGATCGTTCAAAGTCAGACCTTTCTGATGTTTTACAGCATCATCTTTCCAAAGAGGAGCTTTTAAAAGGCCAAGGCAGTCCTTGTGAAACTCTCCCAGAGGTCTCCAGGGCGGACAGTCTTGATGAAGCCATTGTTAAAAGTTTTATTTTGCGTTATGTTAAGAGTTTTTGGCCAAAAGAACCAACCCCAGAACTCGCTGACCAGCTCAACCCCCCGAGGGAGGATGACATGGGCAGTGAGCCCAGCTGTTGCCCCACCATGACAGCAGAAAACACCTCTGAGACAGAAGAGCCAGTGGCTGCTGGAGACGGCAGCCTTCCACAAAGTTCCACTTTTCTAACTAAATCCAAGAGTCCAAGCAATAAACAAAAAGGCTGCCAAGAGCAGAAACTGCAGACAGAAAACACAAGATCAGGCCCTGGGTTCAAATATGGCCAAGTCTGTTACCGGTTCTCTGATCGCTCTAGTGTTGCTCCCCAAGGGAAAATCCCTAAAAATAATACGATTGATAAACCACTTCTAACAGATAAACAAGCCAGCTTTTCTCCTGAACTGAGAGCTGGGTTAGCTCTTGGGCAAGAAATTCCAGAAGGCACGGCTAGGCCAGACCGTGCTGAGAAGGAAGAGCAGGAAAGGAAGACTGGGGACCCCTCCCAGCAGACAGAGGTAAGAGAAGTCGCCTCCGGAAACAGGCCTGGGCTGCTCCTCTGTGCCAGAGCCAGTCTCTGGAAGGTGACTGACACCTGTTCCAGTTCTGAGCAAGTTCTGTGACCTCTCAGAAGACCATTGGGTGCCTCATGAGAAGAAGCAGGGGCTGGAATAACAATAATACATCATAGAATTAAATCCAAATTCTCCCACCTGGAATTTGAGTTTCCCCATCTTTTTAAAAAAAATATGTTTTCATTGATTTCAAAGAGGAAGGGAGAGGGAGAGAGAGAGAAACATCAGTGATGAGAGAGAATCTTTGATCGGCTGCCTCCTGCACGCCCCTGTCTGGGGATTGAGCCTGCAACCTGGGCATGTGTCCTGACCTGGAATTGAACCGTGACCTCGTTTCATAGGTAGATGCTCAACCACTGAGCCACGCTGGCTGGTCTTCTCTAGTCCTTTCAGGTTGGAGAACTGGACTCTATAGGTGCCATACCCATCATGTCACTGAGACATTCATAATCGTCAGTTTGGTGAGACCACAACCGGTTTCAGTGGTTCTCAACATGTGGGTCGCGACCCCTTTGGCGGTCGAACGACCCTTTCACAGGGGTCGTCTAAGACCATCCTGCATATCAGATATTTACATTACGATTCATAACAGTAGCAACATTACAGTTATGAAGTAGCAACGAAAATAATTTTATGGTTGGGTCACAACATGAGGAACTGTATTTAAAGGGCCAGAAGGTTGAGAACCACTGGTTTAGCTGCTGGCACTGGCCTGTTTCTGAGCTCTGTGTGCTGTGAGCGATGGGCAGCCCCTCAAGGCGAATCACTCTGGAATGTAAACTCCTGTCCCGACTGTATGAGCAGAAAGGGGCGTGTCCTGGTAAAAATGGCTGTCTTGACACCCTAATGCATACTATTTTATGTTCTTCTCTAGGGTGTGGCTACCATGAGTTTGGTGTTAGTGAGAGCAACAGACCTGGTGAGAAGGCCTCATGGGGCTTGTGGTCTAGTTTTAGGAGAAATGTTTGCATGTTCCATATAATAGCATCAGACATGATAGTATTAACAGCTAATGTGTACTCAGTGCTTACCACATGCCTGAGTCTAAGTACTTAACACTTACTCCTCATAAGGACCCCAGGAATAGGTTCTGTTACTGTCCCCACTTTCCTGCTGAGAACGTGAGGGTTACGGTGATAAGTAATTGCCTGGGCCACCCACAGATCAGTGTCGGAGGTGATTCAGCCTTGATGCAACACGGGCTGCCTGGAGGACCAGAACCATCAGCCATTCTGAACAATGGCGTCCTTGATCACTATCAACAGTAACACTTTCTTATCCTTTAATTATGCAGATGAAGCCTGCAACACACAGCCACCAAGAACATCTCACAGGTACTAGCGTTTTTTCAACCTCTTTCATTTAGATACACGTTTAGAAAAAATTTTTAAATAGCAAATGGTGGTGATTGCCACCGACTTCCATTTTCAGGACTTAATAAATCTGCACTGAACTTGAGATGAACGGTAGCCCAACTTATTCTCTCTTCTATAGGAACAGGATCCGAGACACGCCTCTGGAAGCTGTCATCAACCTCTCAGAAAGACCCTTTCTTGAGTTCTTCCATATTCCAGAAGATATCCAAAGGGAGAGAGATGTGCCAGAAGCTAAAAGAACAGACTGATCAGCTGAAGACTAAAGTAATACCTTTAAAGATTATGAACAGTAGAAGTGAGCAAATTCAAAAATAAGATACCATGCCACTCATGAAATATTGCAATTTTTTCACTGCAGGTGCAAGAATTTTCCAGAAGCCTAGCACAGGACTCCCCCGGCCACGAGCAAGACGAGAGGCTGGTAATAAGTCTTTCCTGGGGAATCTGACACGGGAAAGTACAAGGGCTGCCCAGCATGGGCCTTCTCTGCAGGGGGCAGTGGAGGTGCTCGGGTGGAAATGTTTTGCCAGGGGTTAAGGGCAGTAACCTGTGTCCATGGCTGAACAGCCCCCAGAGGCCTGGCGTTGGTCATACATATATAACTCCCTAGAATGCTAAATCAAATTGAATTAAGCATTAAATATGTCCTTAATAACATATTTCAAGTTGGTTATATGGAAACTAGTACAGAATTGTGTTAATGTTTATGAGATTTCCTCTTTCCCTTCACCCATCTTCCCATCCCCCACTCTCACTTACTCCTCATAAGGACCCCAGGAATAGGTTCTGTTACTGTCCCCACTTTCCTGCTGAGAACGTGAGGGTTACGGTGATAAGTAATTGCCTGGGCCACCCACAGATCAGTGTCGGAGGTGATTCAGCCTTGATGCAACACGGGCTGCCTGGAGGACCAGAACCATCAGCCATTCTGAACAATGGCGTCCTTGATCACTATCAACAGTAACACTTTCTTATCCTTTAATTATGCAGATGAAGCCTGCAACACACAGCCACCAAGAACATCTCACAGGTACTAGCGTTTTTTCAACCTCTTTCATTTAGATACACGTTTAGAAAAAATTTTTAAATAGCAAATGGTGGTGATTGCCACCGACTTCCATTTTCAGGACTTAATAAATCTGCACTGAACTTGAGATGAACGGTAGCCCAACTTATTCTCTCTTCTATAGGAACAGGATCCGAGACACGCCTCTGGAAGCTGTCATCAACCTCTCAGAAAGACCCTTTCTTGAGTTCTTCCATATTCCAGAAGATATCCCAAGGGAGAGAAATGTGCCAGAAGCTAAAAGAACAGACTGATCAGCTGAAGACTAAAGTAATACCTTTAAAGATTATGAACAGTAGAAGTGAGCAAATTCAAAAATAAGATACCATGCCACTCATGAAATATTGCAATTTTTTCACTGCAGGTGCAAGAATTTTCCAGAAGCCTAGCACAGGACTCCCCCGGCCACGAGCAAGACGAGAGGCTGGTAATAAGTCTTTCCTGGGGAATCTGACACGGGAAAGTACAAGGGCTGCCCAGCATGGGCCTTCTCTGCAGGGGGCAGTGGAGGTGCTCGGGTGGAAATGTTTTGCCAGGGGTTAAGGGCAGTAACCTGTGTCCATGGCTGAACAGCCCCCAGAGGCCTGGCGTTGGTCATACATATATAACTCCCTAGAATGCTAAATCAAATTGAATTAAGCATTAAATATGTCCTTAATAACATATTTCAAGTTGGTTATATGGAAACTAGTACAGAATTGTGTTAATGTTTATGAGATTTCCTCTTTCCCTTCACCCATCTTCCCATCCCCCACTCTCCTTCCCAAAGTGCTGAGGCTCAGGTCTCACTGATTATTTGAGGACTGGGGCTTTGTGTTACAGGAGCGAAAAGAGCTTAGGATTCCTCTATGTGCTCAGCTCTCTCTCTTTCTCAGGGGATCTATTACTTATGGCTGTTCACTGTTTTTCTTCACCGGTTGCCCCATAATAAATCTGAGACCAGGGCAGGTCCAAAGACTAGCACACCAGCTGTTATAAAGGATCACAAAGCCCATCCAGAGTCGACGGGTCCCAGGGGGTGTAGGTTATAAGAATTACCAGGATCTGGCAACTCAATATATAATAACACTTCAAAAACTTAAAATTGATCCTGAAGCTGTGCTTTCAGATCAAAATCTTTGGGTTCCACATCCTTGCTGGTTGTATTTAATCAAGTCACTCATTGATGTTGTAACCACCACAGCCTTGTTCATCAGTGCCCGGGTCACGGGAAGTGGGGGTGGAGCCTGGCAATGGGGCAAAAAGCTGAGACTGTGAGAGTCAGAAATGTGCAAAGTGGAAGATGTAGTCTAGGCCACTGGGTCAACCGCAAGACATGGTCACAAGTCCTGATGTAAAGAGCACAAGCAAAGCTCAGGCAGGCTGTGCTTCAGAGCCCAGACGGCACAAAAACTGGGAGGATCCGAACCTTAAGAGATGTTCCTTATTCATTCATTCATCATACTAATTAAATAACTCATTAATTCATTCAACAAACACTTATTGGGTGCTTCCCATGTCCCAGACTCTCTACCAGGCATTTGGAGATGATGAAACTATTTCTTTTTCTAGCGGCGGATAGTCTCCTAGGAACAGGTTGGTAAATAGACAAGTGACACACAGCTTGAGAAAGGTTACAGGTGATGCTAAGGGAGGCAGGGAAGAGGCTCACCCTTGTTAGTCAGAGCAAGGCACTTTAGAGGGTTTCCTAGGAGTGACTCTGAGCTGGGTATTGTAGGAGGAATCTAGGTAAGCTTGGCAGAGTAGGGAGCAAGGGATGGTCCAGGAAAAGGAACCAGCAGGTGCCATGGCCCAGGAAGGAAAGTGCTGAGCGTGTGAGGAACCGCATGGTGCGACAATTGACCAGATGGAGCCCAGGGTACTTGTAGTGAAGGGAGGAATGGACAAGACTAGAAAGGTAGACAACAGCTACATCATTAAAGCCCTTCAAACCACACCTGGGAGCTTGGATTTCATCCTGAGGTTGAGTGATGGGCAGCCTGGGGGACTTAAAATCAAGTAAAAGCGAACACCAAGGGGGCAAGACTGTAGGGACGGAGACTGGCTAGGAAGCCATATCCAGGGAACACGTTATGAGGACCTGAACCAAGGCTGACAATAAGGATGAGAAGGGACAAGTCTAAGGGTTAAGGAAGTGGGGGCAGATTGAAAGGGGTGAGTAAAGGGAGGGAGGAGGCTTGGATGAATTTCAGATTGGTAGCTTGGACAATTGAGGTCAGGAATAAAAGTGGAGGGTCCAGTTCAGAATGGGTGTGGGAGACAGGCAGGAGGTCAGTTCCGTTTGTGACATTGTGAGCTCCCTGTAGGATTTCCAGTTGGAGAGGTCCAGGAGGCAATTAGAACGATGGATCTGGACCAAATGAGGACTTGTTTGGGCCAGAAATGTAAACTTGAGTATAGTTGTGGGTTGAAGCTATGGGGTGTATGAGGTTACCTAGGCAAAGACACAGCGTAAGCAGTGAAGTCCGAGGTCAGAATCATGGGAAACAGCCATCCAGGGCAGGTGAAAGAAGCAAGGTCCCCCAAGGAGACCTGTGAGGAGTGACTCTAAAGGTCAAGGCAGACCTGGAAGGGGCAGAGTTGCAGAGGCCAAGAGAAAAGACAGTGTTAAGATGTAGGGAGTGAGCCACACCCTCAAATGTTCAAGGAAGGAAGGAAGGAATGCATGGGTTTGGCAACCCGGAGGTCATGAGGGACCTTGGCCAGCTCGGTTTCAATAAAGTGGTGGGTCTATGGAAGTCAGATTGGGGGAATTAAGGAGTGAATGACAAAGGCAAACTCCAAAAACCCAGGCTTTTAGGAACTGGAAGAACACAGAATTTTAAGGGGCCGAGCAAAGCAGGGGGAACTGGTTCAAGACACTGGCCTTCTGAGGCCTCGACTCAGGACGTTTCTTCCTGATGTTCAAGGGCATGTGGGGATTTGTGTTGGGACGGAGAGGAGGGGAAGGGAGGGCATTTGGAGATGATGAAACTATTTCTTTTTCTAGCGGCGGATAGTCTCCTAGGAACAGGCTGGTAAATAGACAAGTGACACAAAGCTTGAGAAAGGCTACAGGTGATGCTAAGGGCGGCAGGGAAGAGGCTCACTCTTGTTAGTCAGAGCAAGGCACTTTAGAGGGCTTCCTAGGAGTGACTCTGAGCTGGGTATTGTAGGAGGAATCTAGGTAAGCTTGATATCTTTATTCAAAGTTGTTAGCCTTTCCAAATTCCTCATTTTAGTCAGGGCTCTCACACTCTGTCCATCTCCCAAGCTAGACCCCTGATCATTGACTGTGAGGTTTATAGAATCAGCGGCCTGGTAGGAACTAGGTGGCCTGCTCCAATGGAGTAATCGAGAAGAGTTCAATAAGCCATCATTTAACAACAGTGTGGGCAAGGTTAGGGACAGAGGAAGAACAGATACTCCAGCCCAAGGAGAGTAGCTGTAGCTGTAGGAGTAGCTGACAAGCTCTGTGGCTTTTGGTAGAGACACAGTTGGTCCATGATGATACCTGCAGGAGGAAATCAGGGAAACAAAGACCCCTACCTCATCCTTCTTCAGTTCCTCCCTCCTGTTGATGTCTATGGAAGGTCAGCCTCCTGGGTGGGGCACGGAGAAGGATGGAGGATGGATCTGGGGGGAGAAATGGAAAATATTTACCACACTTGCCTTTTTTTATACCCAATAGCCAATGTTTCCAAACTTCTTTATCCATTGTTAATAATAATAATGATAGCTACCCACTATTGAGTATGTACTATGCTCCTGACACGAAGCATTAGCTCATTTAATTTTCACAATATGAAAAAATTGAAGTTTAGAGTTCAAGTTCACTAAAATCATACAATTAGTAGGGGACAAAGTCTGAACTTGAACCCTGGTGATCTGATCCTTTAACTCCTGATCCTTTTCTTGCCCTGGGGAATCTCTCTCTGATTCATCCTCTCCTCTCCATTTTCATGAGTGCTGCCTGGTCCAGGCCCTCCTGAGTACCCTTCAAGTCTGACTTCAGTCTCACCTCTTCCACTGAGTCATGGCGAAGTACTCCGATCCAGCCCAGGGCCAGATGTAGACATTGATCAGGGAATGTTTAGCGGCTGGGACTGTAGAGCTAAAGTCTCTACATTTCCAGACAAGACCCTGACCTGCACGGTTTACACATGCACCTGTGTGAGGCTGCATGTGGTGACGTGGTGACATCTGGAAGACCCATTCCAGCTTGGGGCTAAACTTCCAGCTGTTCCTTCCTCATCTCACCCTCTAAATGCCACAGACTCAAAGCCAGGTCCTCTAAGCTCAGTTCCCTTGTAAGATCTATGTGGCATCAGACTTATTCCTTAGCGCTCCGCTTTCCTCCTCTATAAAACCGGGGTAATAAATCTACTTTGCAACATCTACAACACTGATGAGTAAGTTAAGTAAGAAAAGGAACAGAATGTGTTCTAGAAGCTAAAAATCATTCTGCAAATATACAGGGTTATTAACGTCCCATCAAAAGGCTCCGAGTGGGTTCTGGGAGAGAAATCAGAACCACCAAACTTTTCAGCTTTGTGCTACGCGGGAGGGTGGTATGTGGAGGAGGCCCCTGTCTGAAATTCAGATGTCAGACTCCAAAACAAAACAATGGCCAGGAGAAGGATGACGGCTCTGTTTTGCACTCCTGTAGGGTACACCCTCGTGGGCTTGGGGGAAACAATTCCATGCGCAGGGTTACATGTGAATGATGCCAGTGCCTTCTCTGCCACAGGAGCTGCAGAAACTGCAGGCACATCTGGAACTGCTGAAGCAGGAGTTTGTGGCTGAGAAGCAGCTGACTTTGGAACAGCAAGTCCACAAGCCTAAATCCCCAGCTGTCAGTGACTATGACCCCAAAAGGTCAGGTTTAAACTGTGAGAGGTGGGAGGGTTGGAGAAGAGATCTCTTCAGGTGGGACTCGGATGTGGCTGCTGGTTTAGTGCCTGGGAGCCACGAAAGGCCCAGGAAGGTCTAGGATCAGTAAAACCCCTGCCACCAATGAGTAGGTGTCACCGCATGCGAAAGACAGTGAGGAATTCCTGCTACGTGGAAGGTCCCGTGCTAGGTGATGACCAGATGGCGTGTCCAGAATGAACAGCTGTCTCCTGGCAGAGACAATGTGCCGCCATCTTGCATTTCGTGGATGTCATTAGAATTGGTTCTGAGACGCAGAAGAGCACAAGAACATCGTGGAAGGGCTCACAGTCTAACCCAGAGGCCCTTCCCTCTCCACGCTCCTCTGTCCTCTCCCTTACCCCCCTCTTGCCCTTATTTCTCCCGCCTGGTTCTTCTCTTCTGTCCCACTTCCCCCCACATCCCCCCCTTTATTTCTCATCCACAGACCATTTCAAAGGGGCAGTGGGCTGGAGAGGATCGTTGTCAGGTTGGTTAATGTTGGGGTGAGGGGCCCACAAATCCTGATAAAGGGAAAATGTTAAAACTTAAGTGATTCCTGAGCAAATCCACATTAGAATCTTAGATGCATACTTACACTGAAGTTTCCAACTGGCCATTTTTATGGCACCACAATCCTCTTTCCAACCCAAATAGCTTTAAGATGTATTCCAGGAATCAAGGCTGGGATTGTTTCCATATAATTTCCTGCTATGAATTAAAAGAATCCATTCAGTGGGCTTAATATTCGTAAGGTCAGCTCTTTCTATTCCTAGCATTTTAACACAAATCATTCTTGATGCCAAAATAGTTTAATGGTTTATATTTTAGCACTTGCATCCTGAGGCTTTTTTTCCCAAAGTACAATTTTACTTTTTCAAAAAAAATGAATGAAACCTCTGTCTACTGTTATTTCAATACCAACTAATTAGACAGCAAGGCTGGGGTTTTAATATTGATTTTCCCTCCAAAGCCTTTTAAAAAAAAGATCTCCATATGCTTTCCCTATTTGTTTAAGAACAAAAAGAGTAAGGATATTTATTTTCCAAGGAATCCCACTGTTGGCAGGGGTTTTAAAGACAGGCCTCTGTGCACATGAAGACCAAAGTTATGCAATTCAGGCCTTATTTATATCCCAGTTACACCCACACTGCCTGACCCCAGCATAAACCAACAGAGTCCCAACTGCAATTATATCCCATACACAGGAGAAGCTTTCCACACGGGCAAGCTCAGTAAACTCAGTGGGCAAGCGAAGCTCCTCAGTCCCAGGCTGGTCCTCCTGCTCTCACATGGGCGTAACCTGTCAATGAGCAGAACCCCATACCCTGGAGAAGCTGGTATGTCGAGAAGCTTCTAAGCCCTGAGACCAAAGGCCATTGCAGATAGCTTTTTCTGTAGGGAAAGAATTCTGCAGATTCATCAGCTAATCGCTTGTTGAAGTCAACTGTTGCACTCTTATGAAAACCTTCTTATTATTGCCTTTAAAAGGTAAGATGCAAAAATAACTGTTTGAATTTAATGCATCTTGTTTGTTAGAATGTTGTCTGGAAGTTGTTTGAATCTTTCACACACACCAACACCCGAAACCAAGGGGCCAAGAAATGGGATTCTACCTCCATCAAGCCCTGGTATTATCGTCTTTGGTTTTACAGAAAAGATAAATTCCCTCAAAAATATCTTTTCTCCGCCTCCAAATCTGCATGTTTTCACACACACACACACACACACACACACACACACACACACACACCCTTTCTTCCTTCACTCACTTTGCGGCCTCTCCAGCCCCAGCTCTTCCCACGACCTGTGGCCTGCTTCAGCGTTTCTCTTCCTTCACATGTTCAGTCTCTCCTTGTCCGCTCTTCATTCTCTTCTGCCTGCCAGGGCAGAACACATTTCCCCATATCTTATTTGATTACCAATATGGTTTTTCATGCTGAGATCTTAGTCCCACCACTTACTGAACAGGCCAGCCTTTCCCATGGTGGAAAAAGCCATGTTATCGTATACGAAATCTCCATGGGTAACGGGACGGGTCTGTTCCATCCCACTGACCTAGGTATCTACTCCTACGTCAACCACACAGTTTAAATTACTGTAGTTTAGTATATATTCTGAAATGTTTCCTCCTGTTTAAACTTTCTTTAGCTATTCTTGCACTCTCTTATTAAAACTTTATCATCAGCTCACCAGATGTCTTTAATAAAATTCCATTAGAATTTTGTTCAGGATTGTGTTGAATTTACAGATTAGTTTGGGAGGAGTTAAAACCTTTGCAGTGAGTATTTGGGTCCAGGAGCTTGTTTTCTTCATGTAGATTTGACACATTTTTTTGTTAAACTTGAGACACTGGAAGCACAGGAAGATTAAGTGATTTGCCTGAGGATGCACAGCCAATGGATAGCAAAATAGGGATCAGAGCCCAGGCCTTTCAAGTGACACTAAAACAGGATGCCCATCAGGGCGGGTGTCCATTATGGGTCCTTTCTGAGGACAGGCCATTTAATAACATAGATCAACGCCATGGTCAAGACCTGCTGTTACTGGTTAGAATGTTGACTGCATGCCCTCCACGATGCCTTCTGTTCATTTAGGAAAGCGGAAGGTGAAGTCTCCAGGATGGAGATGCTACTTGAAGATGTTGAAGGGAAGGTTGATGAAGGCAAACACACTTCAGCTGGCTCTCTTCCCGAGAGTTCTCCAACCCTCCCAGGTGGCCTGCCATCCGCATCCTCTCCACCCTCAGATGAGGTAATGCATAACCTACAGCCCAATTCCATGCCAGGAAACACGGTTCCTGTGCATTTATAGAATACGCATTCATGGAATTACAAAATTCTACTTTAATATTTCATAAAATTTAACTTCCCAAAGTCCCATGAATCATATTATTTTCAATGGAACCAGCTTGTAAAAATTAGAAGCTATTTCAAGTTTTGGTTTTTAAAACCTCTTATTAGTTTAGGCTGCAACAATGTAGTTTAAACTGATGAACCGCTGAAGAGCTATTTCTTCTGGACGGATAGTAATATTTCTGTGGATCGTGCCTGGAAGAAATAATTTTTCTTTTTAATGGTTTTGTACTCGCTCTTCCAAATGAGAATGACACTCTCAGTGCAAGAACCATTTCCATGAGTCCACATCTGCATTTCCTTTCTCGCAAGCTAAATTCTTTTGGATTGTCTAAAGATGCAATATTAGGAATTCCAATCCATCACCACTGTCTTTCTACACTTTTTATTCTTTGTAGCCTCAACTATTGAAACATTTCAGACTAAATTCTGAGAAACTGAATTGTCTGGATAATTGCGTTAACTTGATTCTTTGGTTTCAGTCGGTATGTGAAGACACAGCCTGCGGCTGACATTCAAAACTTGAATAGGTTTTTGTCAGAGTCAAGGACAACATGTTGAGCATTATACACAGTGGCGGGGCAAAAGTAGGTTTACATTTGTATGTGAAAAACAGTGCTTATTCTTGTATTATTATGTATTAATTTTTTTATCAATTATTGTTTTAATTTCCAAAGGAACATTGTAAACCTTTTGCCCCACCCTATATAAATGTTAGCCTTTCCAAAGAAGCATGTTCACATCCTCAAAACACCTAGCTTCCTGGCAAAATCTCATTCATTTTAAGGCCCAGCTGCGGAGTTAGACCAGACAACTGGGAAAATATTAAGTGCAAATCAAGTTCAGTATTGAGATTTTTAGTACACGAAGTGCTCTAAGGAGCAGGACTGTGCTTAAGAACACAGCATATGGGGAAAGGGGCAAATCCCAGCTCTGTGTGTTACTTGCTACTCTGGGTGACCTGTCAGGTTGCTTAAATTCTCTGAGCCTCAGGTTACTCATCATTAACATGGGAACAATGGCCCAGGGTGGTGGGAAGGAATAAGGGGGCCACCGGAGAAGCACCTGGCACAGGAGCAGTCAACAAATGTTTGTTTTCGTCATAAGAAAACACTGAAACCTTCCCCAAAACGAATGGGCAAAAGATGTGAACTAAAAAGTCACAAGTAGGAAATACAACTAATAAGCAAGCAGCTGGGAAACGCTTATCTCCTTTAATAGCAGAGGAAACGCTCATGAACGCAGGGTGCCACCCCTTATTAAATTAACAAAAACATTTTCGACTGATCATTCCTGATGCAGTGGAAGGTGTGGCCACTGAGTGGCCCACATTGTTGGTGGCTGTGTAATTCCCACTGTTGTGGAAAGCAATTTGCCAGTTCCTGTCATCACACAAACATGTTCGTACCCTTTGACCCAGACACTTCCTAAGGAAGTCATTCAAACACGGAAAAAGCTATCTGCACAATGCTGCTTGTGCAGGCACTGTTTATCATGGTGAGAAAGGTGCGTTTCTCTTCTGTTCCCCTAGAGCACGGTGGGGAAGGTCCAGCCCGTGGGCTGTATAAGGCTCAGGAAATCATTTGGTCTGGCCCTGCCAAGGCATTAGGGTGAGCTAATTAAATGTTTGACCAAGTGTAGCAGGCTAATTTTTAAGTTGATAATTTTGTATGGCCCTCAAATGATGTTATAAATATCCAGAAAAAAGGTTCCCCACCCCTGAAAAGGGTAAAACCACCGTAAGAAATACAGGCTAGGTGGTATCAGCCCTTTCAGGCCAGTAATGCCATTGTTTTTTTTTGTTTTTTTTGGGGGGGGGTGTTAATTCCCTAAACTTTGTTATAATTCTTAGTGGATTGTATTTCTTTGGAAAAGCTTTCAGAGCTCTACTAACTGATGGTCGGATTGATAGATTTAAAATTAGCTTCTAACATCTGTTCGTCCTCTGGTGAAACCAAAGGGTAAGAAAAAGGGAAGAATACCCTCTCGTCTGTACACGAGATTTAAAATCTGCTTGGGGAAGGGAAGAAGACAGTATGTTGTGTTGAAGGTTCTTTCTCTAAGTCCTGGCCTACAGCACAGACCCACCGAGGGAGGAGTGAGAACCGAGCCGCCTGCGGTGGTGAGCAGCGAGCCTGGGCTGCTTGCTGGGCAGAGCTGTGCATGAATGTGAGCAGCCAGGGGGTGAGTCACTTCCTGGGTCACAGCTGCATCTGTGTGCTTTGTGGTGCAGGACCCCCGCCACACCTCCGCCTCCGGAAGGCAGCAATGTGCAGAGACAACCGGCCGGAGCTGTGCCTTCTGCCACCGGGTCCTCGAATGGTGAGGGCTTCTGGCTGCTAAGCTGCCGGGGTGGGTGGGAGCCGGGCCTGGGATAATGCCTCCAGTGAGAGTGGGCGTCAACTTGCTGACCAGCTGCCAGAGCCACTGGCCCAGTTACAGAACCGCAGACCTCAGGGCTGGGCACGCAGCCCAGCCTCCCTCCCATTTACAAGTCCCTGTGGCTGTGGTTCTCCACTGGGGACAGCATCAAAGTCACCGGGCAGATGTTTAAATCATGCACACGCCTCAGCCCCACCTACTGTGACATCCTTGCCAGGGTGGAGCCTGGGAGGAATTCTTGTTTACATCTCCCGGGTGATCCTGATGGGCCCCTGGGTGAGAATCTCTGCTACAGCACAGGGAGGGGGGGTCTGTCCTGAGGGCTCCTGGGAACACTGCCAGGTGGGATAGTGTTACACACCCTGTCCACCAGCTCCCCACCACCACTCCCCTGGGGTGAGGGAAATTCCCTGTTGGGTCCCCCCTCTGCTCCCTGGTCCCACCAGAAATAAACCTTATCCCACACCTCAGGGCTTACTTCTCCCATCACTTGGCATGAAATCTTCAAGTTATAAATCGTGCACACAGATATAAAACCCTACGTAGACATCCGTGATGCTTTGGAAATGCTCATTGGAGCAGCTGTTGGCCCATGTGAATTCAGCATCATTTATTTGAAGCTTCCATGAACTGGGGCCAAAGCCTGGCTAATTACCTTGGGAAGGTCAGGAGCAAGGAGGGCAGAGCTGTTTGGCAGCTGCTGTTACATGCACGTAATGGACTAATAGAAGCAGATGAGGAGGCTGACAGACTGGGGTTTCCTGAAAGAAAGCATTCCCCACGGGAACCGCACTCGTCATAAGTGTTCCATTGAGTTTCTGCCTCCTCCTCCCCCCAAGAGACACAGCAGGGTGTGTGTGCTAACATCTACTGGTGTCACCTGGTGAGGCTCAGGACTTTAAACCACCATGTCCGTCATCAGCTCTGACTCTAAACACAAGGGGCACTGATGTGCTTACTCCCCAGTCATCCCTGCCCACTGTTTGTATTTCTAGAATTAAACCTAGATTCTGAATTTTTTTTAGGTTTTATTAAATATAAAAATTTTTTATGCTTAAAGAACATTTTCATCAAGCATTCAAGGTACTAAATGTTTCTCTTCCAAATTCCTAGCATAGACCTAGAGAGACCAGTGTTCTCGACTAAATATACTTTTCTCTGATGGACAAGATGGAGAGAGAAGCACAACCAAGTATAAAATCAGACCTAATAGTGAAGCTACTGCTGGGAAGGGAGGAGGCAGACATGGGTTACAAACTGCAATCTCGGTCAGTACCGTAATAGTCCCGGAGGAATGAACTGAGCAGAGGGCTGAGGGAGGAGGCAGACATGAGTTACAAACTGCAATCTCGGTCAGTCAGTGCCGTAATAGTCCCGGAGGAATGAACTGAGCAGAGGGCTCCTCTGCTCTTTCAGCAGGAGCTCTCTCAGGTGGGGTGTTCTTTGTAAAGCTTGCTGACGGACAGGATGCTGCAGGGCATTTGCAGGGTGGTGTGTTTGCATGCAGGTAAATGGCATAGACGCTGCATGCAAATGCTTATCCCTTTGTGTTGTTTCTGCGGCAGGACTGGATTTAAGCCACTAAGACTGTCTTCTCAAGTAGAGTTGCCCTGAGCTGTTACATTTGGCAGGAAGATTTCAGCGCACAGAGACGCTTAAGAGGCAGAAAAAGAAAGTCGTGTTGGACTGAACTCACTTGAGTGAGATCCAAGTTTCCCACTTTGGAGAGCAGATGTTCAGAGGCCCCAGCGGAGGGGGTGGAGAGAGAAAATGGGGTGTGAGGAAGTGTGACTCAGGAGGACAGAGTGTTTTTCCAAGAGGAGGGGAAAGGCTTGGCTTCCCAGCCCCAACCCCACAGGCACAGCGAGACCTGCACGCTCGTGCCAAGCAGCACCTCATACCCTCCCTGGGAATCGGTCTCAGTCCTGCCTCACCCGCTCGGGCCAGGATCCCTTGGGCATGGTGCCTCCACACAAGGAATGAGCACCTTCCCCCGGGGGCTATTACTGTACCCAGGGGCTGAGCGAGAGCTTTAAGAATGTTAGTGGGATTCCTTTGGAGGAGTTAGATTTCTGTGAAGGAGGGAGACTGAAGCAACAGGTCAGAGGAAGCAGCTGGTAAATGACAATTGTAGGGCATCTTTCTGATGCCCCCTGGTGGCCTGTACTGATAAAATTAAGCTCAGATGTCCCCCAGCCTCTAGAACAGTGGTTCTCAACCTGTGGGTCGCGACCCCTTTGGGGGTCGGACGACCCTTTCACAGGGGTCGCCTAAGACCATCGGAAAACACATATATAATTACATATTGTTTTTGTGATTAATCACTATGCTTTAATTATGTTCAATTTGTAACAATGAAATTGGGGGTCACCACAACATGAGGAACTG